AAAAAATAAAATAAAATTTGCACTGTTCTGGGCAACCGGCCGGACGACCGGTTAGGGAAAATTTCGAAAAAAAAAATTCAAAAATTGCACTCTCAAACAGAGTTTTCTGCAGAGTTGTAAAAAATTAATTCCACAACTCTATCCAAACATCATATTCAAACCACCAAGTGAAAAACTCGTTTGAAATGGTTCCAAACACATTTTAAAATTTTTTTTACATATTTTTTTCTACATTTTAATATACTTATTACACATCTATGTGGCTGACATTTTCCTTTATGAAATTTGTTAATGATATTCACTTCTTGAAAACATATATAATTTGGGTCTTGCTGGAGACCCCCAGCTGGCCAAGACCCCCGGCACCCCCACCTCCACGTGGGGGCTGTCAATGGAGAAGAAAAGAAAAAAAAAAATATAGTTTTTTGGCCAATCAGGAGAGACCCCAGCACCCTCACTGGGGTCTCATGCATTTTCCATATAATTTATGTACGATTTTATTATGAACTTTTATGTTTTTAGAGTTAGGATACTTTTGAAAACTTAATTTTTATGGCTAAAATAATAATAAAAAAAAATCACCAAGAAAAATTACTTTGAAAAAAGTAAACAATAAAAATTTTCAATAATTCCCCATTTTTTTTATAATTAAAAAGAATTATTCTCAAATAAATTAAATTTTTTTTTACCTCGTAAAAATAATAAAAAGAAAAAAAAAAATTTCCCCCAAACAATGCCTTTAATATCGTCTATGTTCCTGGCACGGATAACCCTCGGATTCTCGAAAAATTAGTGGATGGTTTTGGAATGTCATGAGATCACATCTCATACTAATCATAATTTATTATTCCTCGTCATATTTTTTAATTACTGGTGTGTTTGGTAACGTTTACGTTTTCAGTTTATATTTACAAAAATTTTATAAACTGATTTTTGTTTATTTTTTATTTATTTTTAGAAAAACATAAACTACAAACGCGTTTGGTAATTGACAAAATGTGTAAAAAAATTTAAAAATATAAAAAAAAAGTGAGAAATGACAAGTGGTGGCAATTGGCGGCGAAAGACGATGGTGGAAAGTGGTGACGGTGGGGGATGGGTAATAATTTTTTTTAAAAAATTCAAAAAATAATTTTTTCAAATATATAAAAATTAACATATCAATTACAAAAAAATAAAATAAAATTTGCACTGTTCTGGGCAACCGGCCGGACGACCGGTTAGGGAAAATTTCGAAAAAAAAAATTCAAAAATTGCACTCTCAAACAGAGTTTTCTGCAGAGTTGTAAAAAATATATTCCACAACTCTATCCAAACATCATATTCAAACCACCAAGTGAAAAACTCGTTTGAAATGGTTCCAAACACATTTTAAAATTTTTTTTACATATTTTTTTCTACATTTTAATATACTTATTACACATCTATGTGGCTGACATTTTCCTTTATGAAATTTGTTAATGATATTCACTTCTTTAAAACATATATAATTTGGGTCTTGCTGGAGACCCCCAGCTAGCCAAGACCCCCGGCACCCCCACCTCCATGTGGGGGCTGTCAATGGAGAAGAAAAGAAAAAAAAAAAAATAGTTTTTTGGCAAATCAGGAGAGACCCCAGCACCCTCACTGGGGGTCTAATGCATTTTCCATATAATTTATGTACGATTTTATTATGAACTTTTATGTTTTTAGAGTTAGGATACTTTTGAAAACTTAATTTTTATGGCTAAAATAATAAAAAAAAAAATCACCAAGAAAAATTACTTTGAAAAAAGTAAACAATAAAAATTTTCAATAATTCCCCATTTTTGATATAATTAAAAAGAATTATTCTCAAATAAATTAAATTTTTTTTACCTCGTAAAAATAATAAAAAGAAAAAAAAAAATTTCCCCCAAACAATGCCTTTAATATCGTCTATGTTCCTGGCACGGATAACCCTCGGATTCTCGAAAAATTAGTGGATGGTTTTGGAATGTCATGAGATCACATCTCATACTAATCATAATTTATTCCTCGTCATATTTTTTAATTACTTAAGTTTCGTTTGACAACATTATTTTTTAATTTAAAAGTCAAAAAATTACTAAAAAAATTAAGAGGCCAACAATTTATATTAAAAAGTTAAAAATTATCTTTTTACTTTTTTTTTTGGCACGTCTTTTAGTAAAATATCAAAAAATATTCTAGACATGCTAATTTTTTTATGTTATATTTTAACTAAAAAATTAAAAAATTATTAAAAAAAATCTGCTCCAGAGGAGGCTGTAGGAGTGATTTAGTTAAAAATTATATGATTCATAATAAATTAACAATTAGATTTTAACCCACTTTTCAAATCGCCCTTGATACAATTCCATAAGCGCGGCAACATCCACCAATCATAACATACGCCCGACTCTCATCAAAAAGTACAACTCTGCACAGAAGATCAATGGCCGAGATAATAGAAAGCGACTAGGGCCACTGTGGTCTGTTCTTCACTTAAACGTCGGTCCCCATTGGGTGTACCACCGACCGTGGTCCAGAGTCTGATTTTCTTCAGACAACAATCTAATCTAAGGTCAAGTTTGGACAGACTAAATAAATGTACTTTTTGACTTTTTATGAAATATGAATTGGATTTGAGTTAGGTTTGAAGTGATGTGTTAGAGAGGTGATGTGACTTAAATAAAATGATGTAACTTAAATAAGATAGTAACTTTTTGACTTTTTAAATTTTTTAAAAGATGCCAAACTTGACCTAAATTTATGGCGTGCAACACACTAATCACTCAAACTTTACTTTAATAATTCTAGTGCCGCGCAATTAGCCTTCTTGTCAAATATGCTTTACTTATCGCTTACTGTCACGTAATAAGCTCCCACCCCCCATCATAAAACATGCTTAACGTGTCACTTCCATTATTCCAAACAATAATCCTAAAATATGAACCATTTTTCCAACCACAATTTCTTTATGAAATTAATTAGCCTATGGCCTATGATACTTGTTACTTCCTGTATAAAAATGTGTGTAGTAAAAAATATATAATATTTTTATTTTTTTGTGAACAACTGCCCAAAGCCGAAGCATAAAAAACGAAAATTTTATATTCAGATATGAAAAATAATATCTTAAAAATATGCATGCGTGATGTCATAGACTATTATAGATAAATAATGCATATTTTTTTAGATTACTAGTTATTGGAGATGGTAAAAGTTATGAATTATAATTCAAAAAAAGGTCCAAAATTTGTGAAGTTTAAACCGCCAAAACGATCGCATTCATCCGCCAATCCATACGCTCTGCTCAGTCTGCATCCACCAAACCGGTAGACGAATGTGGATTTATTTTTTTCAATCTACCTAATTTTAAACGGATGGCAGATGTAATGTCACTGTACTAAATCTGATTCGCAATCACTCCTAAAATGGTTGTTTAATAAAAAAATTAAACAATTATAATAAAAATTTTAAATTTTTTAAAATTTTTGAATATTTTTAAAAAAAATTCAAAAAGTTTCTCAAACCAATTCTAGTCATTGATTCCTGTATAAATTAACAAGAAAAATGCTTGGGAGCACTAATTAGTGCTCCCACTAATTAGGTGGCAGTGGGTCCCGTCAGTAATGATGTGATATTTTGGTCTTGGAGTTGTATTTTTTTTATTTATTTTTTATTTTTTTAATCCATTAGTGCTATTAGTGGTGATGTTTTTAGTGGGATGAATCATTATTGAATTAACAAATGCCATCCAATTATTAACATTAGGATAATATTATAAGTATCAATTGGTATATTAATTAATATATTAACAAATGATGTGATATAATTTTAGAGATTTTAAATATTTATAATTTGTATAATAAGTAGAGTTAATAATAATATTATAATATTAACATATTAATTAATATATTAATTCGTATCTGTAAGACTACCGTTAACGTTATTGAAAAGTCTTAGCCTCCGTTTGGGAAGTGGGTTGGCTTTTTGGCTTTTTTAGCTATTTTAGCCTGGGCTTAAAAGCTTGGTTTGGGAATGGCTTTTTGACTTTTTTGAGTTTTTTTGTGAGAGAATAATGTAATTATTATGGGTTGGATGTGATGTTTTGTTTGTTATGACTAAAATAGCCTATTTTATTTTTTGTGATTAAAATAACCAAAAAAACCTACAAATTCACTTGCCAAACACAGGCTTAAAAATATTAATGGAGTGGAGTAATTATTTACCGTATAGTATATGTTCCTAACTTGAGCGTTTGACTTACAGGGGACTCGTTACTTCCAATATTTTATTATTTCCATTATATATTGATATTTGTCATTAGTGTTTTTTTAACTTCATTTACAGGTGGATGAGCTTCATGCAGGTGGGATAGTTGATTAGAACTGTATTTGTAAATTTTAAAATATTTCATCTATATTTATTTGTCGAAAAATACACATCCACTTAAAATCAATCGAATTAAGTCTACTCCATCTAATTGAAAAAGTTGGACAGATTTATCATTACCCTAAACCATTTACTTTTACTACATTTTACATCGGCATATTTTAACAATTGAATTAAAAATTAATTTTTTAATTTTTAATTTTTTAACTTTTTAAAATTATATCACTTCTTTATTTTTTTTCTTTTGCTACACGTTTAAAAAAAAAAAACACACAGTTTTAGAGGTTGTTTAGAGTGTCTTAAATAAGTGTACTTTTTTTCTTTTTAGACAAAAAATTAAAAAAATATATATAATTGTTTAGATTAATTTTTTAAATTTTTTATAAAAAAATATATATTAAAAAATTATATAAATTAATGTGTAAAAAAAATTAAAATTAAAAATTAAAATTTTTAAATTCTGATAAACAATAATAATTTTTTAATTTTTTAAATAACTTTTTAAACTTTATTCGAACATGAAGTTAGATAGCGCTTACTCTGGCCCACTTAAAACCACGTGTCGAAATCCCATTGGATGAATATTATTAATAATTTCACGGAGTACAGTTCACCTCACTCACACTCGTCCTACCTTCGTCTCCAAACAAAACCCCCCAAGCGTCGGTGAAAAACCCTCCCACGCCGGTACATTTTCATCTCCTCTACCAACTCCCATTCCTCTCCCCCCTCTCTCCATTTCTCCTTTCCTTACCTTTCCTTTCCATCCAACATTCCAACCTTAACTCTCTCTCTCTCTCTCTCTCTCTCTCTCTCTCTCCAACTTCCCTCAATTCTCTCTCCGATCAAATGGCCGCCGACATCGCAAGCTCAGTCGACTTCGGCCTGAAGCTCTCGAAGCGTCTTTACTACGGCAAGGACCAGTCTCTGTCGTCGCCGCCGAAGACGGCGGCGATGGAGAAGTCGTCGGAGGGTTATGTTCCGACGGCGGTGATGGTTTATGCGGTGATATCTGAACCGTCGATTGTGGATAATCCTGATGTGCCGAGCTACCAGCCGTACGTTCACGGCCGGTGCGATCCGCCGGCGCTGATTCCGCTTCATATGCATAGGATTGAGATGGAGGTGGATTGTTATTTGGATACCGCGTTCGTTACGGTTAGTGGAACTTGGCGAGTTCATTGTGTTATGTCGAGCAAGAGCTGTGATTGTCGAATCATGATACCGATGGGCGACCAGGTAGGGACATTTTGTTTGGAATTGAAATTGTTTGAAGCGCGGTTTAATTATTGATTTTCCATAATTGGGATTAGTTAATAACTGGAGTGATTAGGAAAATTAGACTATATTTAAGCAATATGTGTACAATTGTATTTGATGGATTGTAAATGATTTCAATGCATACCAGAAAATTACCTTTTAAGCAAGTCGTTAAAAAAAAAAAATCATCGGGAGGCTCCGAAGAGGAATGGAATTTTCTCAGTTTTATTGCTAATTTTTAGAATGAGAAGAGTTCCTTGTTGATTTTGATTATCATTCTTGTTTAGCTTCGGTCGGCTTGGCAGATTTTGATGCTGGATGTTTCGGAAAGGAACCTTGATACAGGATATAGATAAGGAATGTATAATTTATATGATATCATTTTATTTTTATTTTTTTTGAAAAAATAAATGCCAAAACTCTAAAAGCGCCCTAAACTCAGAAAGAGGGTTCCTAACCAAATCAAGAGGGAGCTTGCCCTTTCAGCTTACAAGAAGCTAACCAATGGGCAATTTAATTTGCATTTCTAGCAATCCATGTAAAGGACATCCCATTCCTGGATCTTGAGGTTCGAATGTCGTGGAAAATTGCTTGACTATCCCATGGCGGAACAAGCTCGGACACACTCAACTCAATAACAGTCTAGTTATTACTCTCTATATGGAAATTAGAGAGGCCAAGGAAATGAGCAAACACACAGGCCAAACTAACTGCCCCTGCTTCTCCTTGAGTAATAGAAGAGGCTGGGACTGTGGTAACAACACCATCAACCAGTCTCCCCTTCTCTATGAAGCATGAGTACTTCGAAAAACATGCCGTACCCGTACCGGGTACTTACCGGCGTATGATCCCTCGTATGGTACTTCTGCATACATACCGGGTACACGAAACACGTATCTAATTTTTTCTTTTTAATTTTTGGCATACCCAGATGTATCTACTATATACCCAAGCTGTACCGTATCTCAGTTAAAACAATATTATCTTCTACTACAGAAATAAAACTCATTTCACTAAACTTTTTTTTTTTATTTTTAGTTTTATACTTAGCATATTTTTAAAATTAAACTGTGGTTTGTAAGTTATTTTAATATATTGAAATTTTATTTTGATTTATATCTTTATTTTTGGCATTAAATGTTAATTGTAGGTTGAATCTTAACAAATTAAACCATTTAATTAATTTTTTGCATTACTCTAAATTAAAAATAAATATTTTTTTACAAGCGTACGAAGCCGTAGCCGTACCCGTACCCTAACCCTACTTTTTTGAATTTTACCGTATCGACGTACCCGTATCGTACCAGTACCAGTACTCGTACCCGTATCCGTGCTTCATAGCCCCTTCTAGTCACGTAGGACCACCACGAGAGAAGTTTTAGAGCTATCCTTAGAGAAGCTTTAGGCCGCGAGAGAAGTTTTATATCATTTTAGTTTGTCTTTAGTTTTTTGTATCTTGAAGGAAGCTTGCGACATGGTTTTTTGTGTAGCATTTTCTAATAAATTCAAATTGTGCTGAGAAAATGTTGCTAATCTGCTGGAATTGGGTGACTCATATTTTGTTGAACGAATGTTTCTTTATCTGGTCGATGCAAATTGAATTTTTAGGTGAACATCTTCACTCAGTGGAGTTCCAATTTGGTTCACCTTATAACACATGGTAATCTCATGTAAACATGTGATACCAACCCTCTGTTGTTTGAATGAGCCCAGAAAATTTGATTGATATGAAGTCATAGACATAATCCTGAGTTTCCTAATGCCTAATATTAGAATGGACCACATGATTATGGCAACAATCATAAGCATCTAATCTATATTGTATCAATCACTGATGCTGCGAAACATTCTTGAATTTTGTACTGTTGTCATTGGCTGTTTCCTTCTGAACACTTTTTAATGATATAAACACTCAGTTTGCATTATCTTAACTAGCTTTTTGCAATGGTATTCTCAGTTTTGAACTTTCTTATTGGGGTGTGATACTGCAAAATCTGTTTCTCTTCTGCTGTTTCTTCTCAAGACTGCACATAGTAACGCACTTAAAAATTCTTCTTTACCCATTCTTGTGCATAGCTCTAGCATGATAGAGGAAGCCGCAATATGTCCTTGCTTTCTTGATTTTCATATGTTAAACACATTTTACTTCCCACATACACCCCATTTTCTGTCGTAATTGTTAAAGCTCATCGTTTTAAGTTCTCAAGAAAGACATGATTTGGCTAACAGGGTTCAGTTCTAGGTGTCGAGGTTGATGATGGTAGAAGATCATACCATACTCAATTGATCCCAATGGAAGATGCAAAAGATTCAGAAAAAGTAGCCAAAGCCAAAGATGGGTTCCTACTGAAACGGCAGATATACACGCTAAAAGTTCCCCAGGTTATTATCAAGTCTGTTTAATGTTTTAACTAATGGTTCTTTTATGTGTGTGCATGTATTAATTTTTCTCATTGAGCTATGTTTATGTTTTTGATCATTCAAGGTCGAAGGGGGTTCAAATATTTTTATGAAAGCCAGTTGGTCTCAGAAGTTATTATATGAAGATGGTAAATTCTGCCTCAGTGTGCCATTTAGTTTTCCGGCATATGTCAAACCTGTTGGTAAGAAGATAGCTAAAAGAGAAAAGATAACGTTGAGCGTGAATCCTGGTACTGGGACAGAAGTTTTATGCAAAACTAGTAGCCACCCTCTAAAGGTATGTTGGGGTTTAAAGTTTTATCCAGTTGTAAATATAACTCAAATAACATTTTCTTTTACTTACCAGGAAGTAAGACGCCAGGTTGGAAAATTAGGCTTCTTATATGATGCAGAAGTTTTGATGTGGTCAAGTGCTGACTTCTTTTTTTCATATGATGTAAGACCTTGTACATCAAGTGTTTATTTACTGTATAAAATAATATGTATGCCTCCCTCGTCATGGATCGGAAGTCGATGTCTGGGTATATGACCATAAACTGTTCATACCAGATATCCAGGGTCCTGTAATGAAGAAACAATTTCTGTATTTTGCAGGAATAACTTATTCTCTTGGTGTGGTACTGCATTTCAGGTTCCTTCAAGTCACATATTTGGTGGTTTGCTACTGCAATCTGCATCTTTGAACGATATTGATCAAAGAGAGATGTTTTGCTTGTATCTTTTCCCCGGCAATAGTCAGAATAGGAAGGTTAGTTGTTATTCTAATTATGTGAATCTAATTTTTCTTAAATGATCATTTAGTAAACCCCTCAACCCATCCATAAACTAGATGAGTGGAAACTAGTGAACTTGATATTTATGAACTTCTACAAACAGCAAGGTTTTGAGTACCTTAAAACCTTTCTCTTATTTACAACTCGATAGACAGGATTAAATTGGTTGCTTAGCTGAAGGTTTAACAAAGTTGTCCTTCGGCATTTGAAAATTTTAAGCTAAATGACTGAACATATTAAGCTGCTTCGCTTTTATCTTACACTTTATACAAGATAGTGCTGTGATGATAGTTTATTGATTAATGTCAAGTCCTTATATTGTAGTCTATACATAAAAGATTTTGCCATGTTTTTAACCATTCTGCTGCCAACCTTTATTTTTTTTTTATAATTACACTCCTCACCCGTTTTAGTGAATGTGAAGGTTTTCAGAAAGGAAGTGGTATTTTTAGTTGACATCAGTGGAAGCATGAGGGATGGGCCTATTGAGAATGCAAAAAGTGCTCTATTGGCAGCCCTCTCAAAGCTCAGCTTAATAGATTCTTTTAACATCATAGCTTTCAATGTGGATACTCAGTTATTCTCATCTTCAATGGTGCTGGCAACCAAGGAGGCAAAGGAAAATGCCACTCAGTGGATTAGCAGGAATTTTATTGCTGAGGGTGGCACAAACATTTTGCTTCCCCTAACTCAGGTACTAAACAAATACTCAATATGTTCGAAGTTACTTATAATATTCTCCATCGTTGATTGGGTTCCTCTGTTTAACAGTGGCCTTTCACAATACAATAATGGTCATATACAGAATGTCCCTGAGAAATTATACAGGTGATTGGTTATCGTAGAGAAAATATGATGAGAAAACATAAAGGGGAGTTGGCTTCTTGTTGTTTTCTATTTTCCTCCTTAAGATGTGCAATGCATCAATGAGCTGAACATTCTAGTCATATTTTTCTACTTAGTATGGGTGCTCTTGCATTTCAGACTTGTAGCTATAATCATAGTGGCATGGCATTTGTTTTTTCTTTCTTTTTGGAGTGTGAGTGGTTCTGCAATCATAGCTACATGTTTAAGACCAGATGGAAGGTGTCTTGTTCTTTGTCATGGCTCATGCATGATGTTCCTCAGCAGTTGGGTGGCTTGGATGATAAGGATGACTGCTTCATTCACTACCTCATTTTGTCCCTTGTTTAGTGGCTCTCTCTCCAATTCTTCCTTGTTTTGTACACATCTTTAAATTGTCCACTGTCAGTCTTACATCTTATGTTCCAATATCTTCTTCTCTATATGGGAAATATATTATTTCTTATTCATGTTCTGGTCTATGTCAGGCGCTAGAGATGTTGGAAAAAACTAGCGATTCAATTCCTCTCATTTTCCTTATTACTGATGGGGCAGTTGAAGATGAAAGACACATTTGCAATGCTGTGCAAAGTCAGTTCACAAATAGAAAAAGATCAATTTGTCCTCGAATTTGCACTTTTGGAATAGGTGATGAGTTGGTGTTTTGGTTCTGTTATTATTGTTCTAGTTTTTAGTTTCATTAATGTGGTGATATGTTTGCAATATAATCATTTGAGACTAGCTTAACTTCATGTGTAATTTATTCTTGTCTGTCATCAATCCTAACTAGTGCATTCTAGACTGAATAATTGGACTCTGATTTTGTATTTTTCTGTCTTTTCTGATATCCGGCTGATGTAATTGTGTGAACTACTTTTCCAGGTTCATATTGTAATCATTACTTCTTGCAAATGCTGGCACAAATTGGGAGGGGCTATTATGATGTTGCATTTGCCGTAGGTCAGTTCTGTTATTATGTAAAGTGATTTATTTCACTTGCTTTCATTACATGAGTTATTTGTTTTTTACCATTGCATCCTACGTGAAAATCAGTGGTACTATTTTTTGGAGCTTACTTGCAACTATCAAATATGTTAGTTGATGCTCTCATCCAAGAACAATGGGTTGGCATTTTCTTCTTAGAAGCTGGAGACACAGAGAACTCTTGTGAAAAATCACAATTCTAAAGCAATAGGGCTTAACTAACTTGAGACATTTCGAGTCTTCAACAAAATTGGACTGTTAACATATTTAGGGGTTGTTTGGGGTGTCCCAAATAAGTGCACTTTTTGTCTTTTTGGACTAAAAAATTGAGGAAGAAAATATGGATGTTTGGGTTAACTTTTTGACTTTTTATTGACATTTTATGGAAAAATGTGTATTAAAAATTTGTAAAAATTGGTTTGTAGGAAAAAATTAGGATTGTGAGTTGTGTAGCCGTAATTGTTGACTTTTGGTGAATAGTGTTAACTTTTTAACTTTTTGAGTAACTTTTTGGCTTTTTTGCAATATGCCAAACTTGGCCTTAGTTTTCAAATTTCAATTATGCTTCAATGATCACAGAGTCATTACTCTGGGTCTAATTTCAGCTTCTTGCTTTTATTTTTAATGTTCATTTTCTCAGATTCAGTTAACTTTCAAATACAAAGGCTATTCAACGCCGCTTCATCAGTCATTCTTGCAAATATTACTATTGATGCGTTGGAATGTCTAGATTCACTTGAGGTACACTAATTATTACAAGATTTTATTTTTTATTTATGCTCATGATGTTTGGGAGCATGTATCAATGCCATGAGATATTCATATGGAAACTTGGATTTGTAATTATCGTATCAATTTCCTAGTCTTTTATATAGACAACTTTCTTGCTTATAGTTGTGTTATTTCTGCCCCATATCTGATGGGGTAATTCTATTTGGGGATAACAAAGAGGATAATTGATCTAATGCAGATATGGGTTTTATGGCCTCAAAACTAGGTGTTGACGGAAAATCGTTGTTTAAGGAAAATCATGGCAAATATTTTATGCTTTAATGTCCCTGAACAATTGTTTATACATGTCTATGCAGTTGCATCCGCTTGAAATACTATATTCTAAACTAGCTAATTGTGAATTTACTGACATGGCATTTATTGTGCTCATCTAATCTCACTTGTCCAACTTAATCTATGACACTTCTATTTTTGTGTTCGTCACTGCAGTTATACCCAAATCTTATCCCAGACCTTTCCTCTGGAAGTCCATTGATTGTGTCAGGCAGATACCATGGAAATTTTCCTGATTCTGTAAAAGCAAGTGGACTCTTGCCGGATATGAGCAATTTTACTGTGGAGTTAGAAGTGCAAAAATCGAAGAACATACCTCTTGACAGAGTAATTTTTCTACGTAGTTTTCATTTGAATATTTTACAAAACTGAGCTACGTAACTTAGTTTTCCTTTTAAAATTTTGTACAAAGCTATGTTTACGATGACTATATTTTATCCAAGTCATAATTATTTTATACAAGCCATTTTAACATCGTTTGAAATTTTTTTTAGGCGAATTACACTAACAATCCCTATAGTTTGGGACTCGTGTCACTTTGGTCCTGACTTTTTAATTGTGACACATTTAACCTGAATTTTGAATCTTGTTCCAAATAAGGATAATTGAAGATACCATTGCTTAATTTCAAGGGTAAAATTGTCAATTTGATAAAATATAAACTAATTTGACAAAATAAATGTCAAAAATATATTTTAAAATTTTTAAAAATTCTTTCTACCCACCAAAGATAAAAATTATGTAAAATTGATAAATCTTTTAGATATATATATATTTTTTTTTTACCAAATTAATTTTTATTATGTATGTAATGGGTTGTTATTATGATTTTAATTTGTAATCGATATATTTAATATATGAAATATTTTTAGTTTTAGATTTTTGAATTTAATGGATTGGTTTAAAAATGATATCAAAGTTGTTGCCATATTCGACTTTTGGAAAAATATAAACTAATTTAATGAAAATAAAAACAACCACCTATTAAATGATCATTATCTAAATACATAATAAAAATTAATTTGGTAAAATAAATAAATAAATAAATGTTTAAAAGATTTATCAATTTTACATAATTTTATCTTTAGTGGATAGAAATAATTTTTAAAAATTCAAAAATATTTTTTTAACATTTATTTTTATCAAATTAGTTTATATTTGATCAAATTGACTATTTTCCCCTTGTCTTCAGTCTTGAATTTGGTTTATTAAATAAACAAATTAAGTAAAAAATAAAACAAAATAAAATTACAAAAACAAAAATGTTGCACACAACTGGAAATTTGTGCTAGTACTGCACTTTCTCTTCTTTGATTCTTGCCTTTCTTTGCAGGTATTTGCAAGGAGACAAATTGATATTCTCACAGCTCATGCATGGTTGTTGGAAAATAAACAACTAGAGGAGAAGGTTTTTTCTGGACACCACTTAAAGTTGGTTTAACAATCACACATCATACTGATTTTATTTGGAACACTTTCGTTTATATTGAATTTTGTTCCAACCATCATAGTCTAAGAAGCATGGATCCAAAGGATATAATACAATATGATAAGACTCATCACAGTTGGAACACAAAAATAGACAAATATTTATTATATATGATGTATTAAAACAAAAACAGATTGTTCAAATAATTCAGTTTCAACTTTTATATGTTGGAAAATTGTGTGAACTAAAAGCCTTGATGCCTTATTTTTAGAAATCTCGAGTATTCACAAACAAATTGGAAGTATCAAGGGTCTACGGTTTCAAATGTTAAACTACCTACAATTTTTCCTTTATTTTAATATTTATTCTCTATTTTAGCTTCTTCGAGCTTGCACCAAGACCTTAAAAGTGTCTCATGTGTGTTAAGGTGATAGACATGTGTACCCCACGTGTACCCGATCGAAGAATTTCATTTAAAAAAATTAAAATAATTACGATATAATTCGGAAGCATGCCTAACATGTCTTACATTCAGTGGATATGGACATGGCACACCATGAGGTGTGTTTTATTGAAAATAAGATTATATTGTCAAATATATGAGAGATTTACACTTATTGTTGAAGATGTTAAGATCACGTGATTTATGCTCATCATGATTTTTGTATCTTTGATTTATCTCAATCCCTTAGTTCAAGGGTGTATTGGTGTTATCATGTAAGTCAAGATTATCAACCCCACGGGGTTGGCCTGGGGTGTGCTCTCTCTAAGGTCTTAAGTTTGAAACCTCTTGAGTGCAAAATAATTTCTTGGGACAAGTCCATATGGGGCTTTGCCCTGGCTTTAATTGGGCCCTCCGCTAGTGAACGGTGGGATTGATTCCCTGAATTAGTCTGTCCAATGAGCTAGATACCGAGTTATCCAAAAAAAAAATGTAATCAAGATTATCAAAAAGAGTGAATAAAAGATGTAACCTATGGTGGCTTTGTGTGTGGACGTAGGTTAATATTGGTTGAACTATGCTAATGCTTTGTGGTCATGTTCTTCTATTTTTGCTTTCCATTTTCTTATTATGAAATTTAACATCTCTAGTAGATCAAATCTTGGGTGGTCTCTAGTAGATCAAATCTCCACCTAAGTCTAATCTCTCATCCCTCCACTCATTGCTAATTGATTTTGAGTTGGATGCTTTAACATGGTATGAATTCTACCTATTATTTTGGGTTTGGGCTGCAGTGGGGCAAGAAGTGAGACACAAGGGGTGAACCTAGTAATACCAATAATGCCAAGTCTGATCAAGTTGAAGAAATTGTTTCTGAAATACTCTTACTGTGTCCTTGTCTGCTCCAATTGATTGTGAAGAATTTGATTACGTAACAATGACGATGACAACGACAATGATAATGCAGAAGAGAGTGGCGAGTCAGGGAAGAAGAGAACCCGAAGCCTATCAAGGCTAGGTCGCTCAAGTCTCTAATGTAAGGGGGTTTTGGTTTTTGTGTGTGAGCAATGTTTTGAGGTTAGGGCTTGTTCATTTTAAAGTTGTGTTTAGGTTAAATCATATAAATTTGTTTTACATTTGGTTGTGTTTTGTGATGGGTGAGGATAGGGCGTCTGTGTAATATGACATTGAACATATATTTAGGATGTAAGACTGCTTGTCCTAGATGTTATGTGTTTTAGAAATGTAAGGGTAGTTTTGTAATTTTAAAATAATAATAATAAAAAATAAATAAATGAATAATTGCTTGAGGACTCTTCAAAGCCCAATATCCTTTTCCCATTGTGGAATTTCTTATTTTGTCCATAATGTCATTTTCGTTTAGCCCATAAGAGGCATTTCATTGGCAGGATGTCTAACTCCTTGTATCATTTTTTTGTGTTCGCACGATGTCCATTCCGTGCACTCTATTTTGCAATTCATCATTTTGGGGAGTCTAATCTTCATTTGCATGAGGTTCATTCCGTGCATATTGTGTTTGCATGTTCATTCCATGCACATTTCTCTCTTAGCAAGATTTAGTTCCTCGCTTATTTTTCTCCTAGATTGTCATTGAGGGGGAGTAATTACCCTTGTTGTCATTTTTTAGCAACTTCATCACAAATACCTTTTATGATCATCCCATTGTTGAGTTCAAGTTGGACACTTCACTTCAATCGTTCCGGTCTGACGATTATTTGACTTAGGAATTTGTGCAGTGGTATAGGCAATAGATGATCCTGGTCCATTTTTATTAAGTATCGAATTTATATATTTCATCAAGTTTGGAATAGTGGTTTGACAATTTTGGACCATCGAAAAGCTTCTTGTTGCCTTCTTTGGTTTTAGATATTTGTGCCTGGTGTCTGCGAAATTTCAGTATATAATGTTGCTGCATCTGGAATCCTGATTTGTGTATTTATCATATTATATACAATTGCTTGAGCTATTCCCTTTTCTTGTAGGTTGCAAAAATGAGCATACAAACAAGGGTTCCATCAGAGTACTCCCACGTGATTTTGGTTCAGACTGATAAAGGGAAGCCAGATCCTGAATCAGTTTCAATACAAGAGGTCTGATTTTGGCTGAATCTTCCTTTCCGGTTACCTATGCCTTTGAAATGTAGTGACATGGCTTTAAAATACCCATGAGCCTTTGTTACCAGCACGGAGAAACCCAAAACATCATTTTCTCAAGGAAAATGATAGACAAGTCCACTTTTTAGACTCATTTCTAGATCCACTGATATGTCAAAAAGATAATTAGTTGATAATTAGAGAATATTTAATTATCAACCAATCATTTTCTTGACACATTATTGGATTTAGAAAGTGGGTCTAACTTTTAAGTCTAAATAACCATGCTCTTTTCCTAAAGGTGCAATAATAGGGATATATTTCAATGCTGCAAAATCCTTGAATTTGATAAAACATAAAAATTGTTCCAACCTTTTTGTCAAGCGTGGTTAACCTGAGGTTACCATAGTGATGTGAAGCGAAGTCCCACATCACCCAAGTAGTAAAGTAATATTAAGTATATAAGTGTGAGGGAACCCTCACCTCAATAATTAGCTTTTGGGTTGAGTTTTATTCTACCTAAGACCGTGTAACAAGTAATGTAGTGGTTCACTAATAATACTTATTGGTCATGTTTGATTCACAAGATTAATAGTGAAGTATTAATAATCCTATTAAATTAGTGTGGTATTCATTATCCAATTGAATTAATATCCATTGGATTAATAATCCCACCCCTATCCCATTACTAATAATCCTACAAATTTGTTGGATTAATTGTCCATTGGATTAATAATCCTAAACGAAAATGTTAAAACAAATATAGGATAATTGGACCCACGGATTAATAATCCCAATTCCATGCTCTAATCCACCCAATCAAACATGCCAATTCTGTGTTGTGCACAATGGAATTGAGTCATTGGAATTGAGATTGGAGGCCATCTAAGATGGCTTCCATTTCCAAATCCAAGGCATGATTTCATGCTTTGCCTAAGCACAATGTTAATGTTAAGACCACCAGTCATGCTTGGGAAGTTTACAGCATTTGATTTAGATTCTGGAGTGTATGTGTTTCTTTTATATTACTGAGGAAATAAAAATTATTTTGTATGCATTTTTTCAATCTGTGATTTCAAATTTTACTGATATGTTAAAATTCCATAAAACTGAACCAAATTAACTTGCAGAAGGTAGCTGACTTGATTGGCAAGAAAATCATTTTCCTGAGAAACCTGGGTATTGGCTTTGGTAACTTGGCTGCCACTGTTGAGAACCGTCCTCCATCTACCGAAGAAGTAAAATTACACGAAACCTCAGAAATCATGGCGAAGGCTGCTGCCCGTTGTTGCAGTAGGCTGCTGGATCGATGCTGTTGCATGTGCTTCATCCAGGCTTGTTCGTGGATGAATGACCAATGTGCGGTTGCTCTCACACAGCTCTGCACTGCCCTTGCCTGTTTTGAGTGCCTAAATTGTTGTTGTGAAGTCTGTATTTCATGCGACTTGTGTTGAAAACCATGTCTGGAATGTAAATATCATAATTTGGTTGCATTGTCATGTTGCAATATATTGTTGTTCATTGTATCTAAGTGATTCACTTCTCTCTCTCTCTCTCTCTCTCTCTCCTTTTCTGATCATTGCGGTTGAAAAATGCTACTGCTTGTTCAGTTACACTGTTGTGTTCTTTGTGATACGAATTGGAATGGGACAGATACGAATTGGGGACCTCTACCTCATTTCCGCCCGAATCCTGACCGTGCTTAGCCGTGCAAACTGTTTAGTAATACATTTTTAAAAATATGAAATTTATAACTAAGTTGATTACCTTTGTACACTTTTATATGGGAGAATGAGGAGATTGATAATTTCTTCACTGTTATGGTTTTTTTTTTTGTTGTTGCAATATTGTATAAATTTCTTTATTATGGGATTCTTTTTTTTTATTTATTTATAGATTGGTTATTATGGGATTCTTTAGTTGGTTTATTGTTGGGCTTCTTTTATAGTTGTTAAACTGTCAGGATGTAATTATTTTCATATTGTAAATAATATTCTATTAATTGTCCAAAAAATTAGAGATGACAAATTAATTTAAAGATCAAAGTACACAACTTGTAGGTTGATAGATAGTAAAATTGTAAAGGATGAAAGAAAACAAGAGTGATATATAAAACATAGAATTAGAAAAAAATAAAATAAAATAAAACTCCAAAAGGCATTAATAAAAAATTTAAAATAATTGTAAAAAATGAAGAATTCTTGAAATTGGGAGGGGTTGGGTTATCAGTCTCCATCAAAACGCAATCGACTTATTCATTTTCATTCAAACTCTTATTTTATTTTAGCCAGCTATATGAAGGTGAAAAAAAAAAAAAATTATCAATACATGAGAGGTGCAAGTGACGATTTTTCATTTACACTTCACCACAAATATATTTGTATATTTCACAAATTAATAATTTTTTTTCCCTTTCTTCCACCTTCCTGTAATTTCTCCTTTATTTCACAGCATCAAACTCTTTTTATTAGAGTTGGACAGACACCTGGATCAGAACGGTTTTGACTGAAAAAATACTTCATAGTTGCAGTAAGAGTAATTCTAGGGATTTTAGTCACAAAAAAAAAAAAAGAATCACTAATTTTTTTTAAAATTGATAGTGTTTTTTATTATTATTTTTATAAATTATTGCTAAAATTTATAATTAGTGACCTTTTTCGTGATAAATTTTTTAAACTGTCGTTGAAAGTTAAAAATTAATAATTTTTTTGTACACTTTTTTTAAACTGTCATTAAAATTTATAATCAATGATATTTTTTGTGGCAATTTTTAAATCGTCACTAAAAATTAACAATTAACAACAATTTTTTAAATAATCTATACTATATATTAAGCCAAAGGGGGTTTTTAACCCCAAACCTTGTGGGAGTTCTAATCTCCCAATCTAAATTTCTTGATTTAAAAAAAAAAAAAAACTTAGCATTTATTAACTTCTCCTAACCCCCAAGTCTTGAGTCCGGATCCTCTCCTTGAGGCCCTCTCCTTCATTTCCTACTGGCAACGGCTGAGATCAGCCGTTGCAAATCCAACGGTTATTAAAAAAAAAAATTAAAAACTGAACTGAAATTTTCCCGCCCAAACCCAAAGCTGTATAGGTTATACACGCACTTCTCCTCCACAGAACCCACCTTCATCGGCGACCTACTCCCGGCGGCAACCCAAGCTCGACGGCGACCCACTCCCGACGCCGGCGACCCACTCGTGTAACCCAACCCAACCGATCCAGGTGAATCTTTTATCTGTCTGCTTCGCAAACACACAGCTTTCATGCTCGTCTCCTACACCTCACTGAACCCGTAAAGATGGACAACAGAAAGGTGCATGCAATCACGGATTGGCAAGCACCAAGCAAAGTGACTGAGTTGCGTTCCGCTTTGCCCTCATTCTCTCTGCCCTCACTTCGCGAACCAGAGAGCAAACCACATACATAATTTCAGAAAATAATTCTTGATAGTAATTAGTTGATTGGATATCTATTCCATATCAGTTGAATTTAAGACTGCTGAGTGGGTTGTATTGTTTATTGTTTTTGTTTATAGTTGCTGAAATTGGGCTGAAATGTGTGTTATGGCTTGTATTCACACTGAAATTGTGCTGAATTTGTTGTTTATAAATGCTGAATTTGTTGTTCAATCTAGTTTGCAGTTGGTTCAATAAACAAATGGGAACATTGCCCACCACAGGAATAGGAAGGAAATGGCTAATTGTTGTTTTTTTTTTGTATCATGTTTAACACAAATTCTTTTAAAAAAAAATGGACAATAATTTCAACATGAACATCCCCATGAACAACCAAACCCATGGTTCATATTAATGGAAGCTTACTGAACATCCAGATGTCTGGTTCATTTGATGGGAATATGAGATTGAAAGAGAGAGCTCCACCAAGTAGAGTGACTTGCCACAATTATTTTTACACTGAGGAGATTTTAGAATAGGAAATAACACAAATTCTAGGGCCACATTACCATCACAGTTAGTGGTAAAAGCATTGTAAAGAAGTCGTAGAAAACTGGTTGGACAGTGATGTTTTGAGTGTTCTTGACTTGTTGATTTTTTGAGTTGAGGATTGACTATTTCACATAGCAAGGTTCTTTGTTTGCTCTGTTCTCTAGGCATTACCTTTGGTTGCTGTATTTTTTGATTGCTTTGCTTTATTCATATTCCATCTTTGTACTATTATACAACTCAAAAGAAGCTTTGCCAACAACAAAGAAGCTTATCCATATTCCATATTCCATCTTTGTACTGTTCCAACTTTGCTGTATTTTTTGATTGCTTTGCTTTATCCATATTCCATCAGTTTCCAACAACAACAGCAACATGAACAATATCTGCTCCAGAAAAAAAATTAAATAAAAGGAAAACACACAGTAACAAAGTTGGAGAAGTGGTAAAACACAATTAAACAATTAAAACACACAGGTTTTCAAAATTTAAAAAAAAATACAATAAAACAAAAAAAAACTAGAATGAAACAAAAAAAAAAAATGAAAGATATCCAAGTGCATTCATAATCTGTGTCTCTGTTTTTTGATAGCATTGCATAATCGAAAACACAATCAAAAACTCTTTGTGTCTTTGTTTCTCGCCGTTGTCGGGAGTGGATCGCCGGTGAGGGTGGGTCACCAGTGAAGGTGGGTTCGCTGGAGGAGTGGAGGAGAAGGAGGCTGAGTGAGAGTGAGCTTATACAAAAAGCTGTAAAAGCTGTATGATGGTTTGGGCAGGAAACGAAATTGAATTTGTTTTAACTTTTTTCTTTTTTTTAATGGCCGTTGGATCTGCAACGGCTAATCTCAGCCGTTGCTAGTAAGAAATGAAGGAGAGGGCCTCAAGGAGAGGATCCGGACTCCCAAGTCTTACCCTCATAATAACACTTTAATGCATTAAGAACAAGCATAAAATTATTTTTTTGAAATCCAGCACATATGAATTCCTTGAAAAGTCTCAACACATATGATTATTATCCCTCATAATAACACTTTAATGCATTAAGAACTAATATATATAAAAAAAAAAATCTTGAAAAGTCCAAAACATATGATTATTATCAAAATATTAAACTTTAATATAATATAATAAAAAAAATGGGTAAATTATTGATAAATCCTATTTAGAAGTGTTTTAACTCAAGAAGTCCATGAATGAATTTTTTAACCCATTTAGCCCCATGTATGTATAGTTTTATTCCATAAAATCTTTTTTCTTGATTTACACTATTTTCTTGGACACTTATGCCCTTATATTTAATTTTGATACCCTTATAAATATTTTTTGAACGGTTAGCAATTTTATGATGTGAACATTCATATTTTAAAATTCACATTGGTAGAAATGTAAAATTGGCCCGTGGGCGGCCCAAAAATCGGGGGCGGGCCCAGCCCGTTAACAATGTGAATATTCACATTGACATGTTAACATGCACATTAATAGGAGTATAAAATTGGCTCTTGTCCCGTTGCGGCGCGAAACCTGCCCGCGGCCCATGGGCGGGCCCGATCCGGCCCGTTGACAATATTAACATTCACATTGACATGTTAACATTCACATTGATAAAAGTATAAAATTGATCCGCGGCCTATGGCTGCCCAAAAGCTCGTCCGCCGCCCAGGGCGGGCCCGACCCGGCCCGTTGACAATGTGAATATTCACATTGACATGTTAACATTCACATTGATAGGAGCGTAAAATTAGCCCGCGCCTTGTGGCTGCCCGAAACCCGCCCACGGCCCATGGACGGCCAGGGGCGGGCCCGGCTCGGCCTGTTGACAATGTGAATATTAACATTGACATGTTAACATTCACATTGATAAGAGTACAAAATTGACCAGCGGCCTAGGGCGGTCCCAACCCGGCCTATTGACAATGCGAATATTCACATTGACATGTTAACATTCACATTGATAAGAGTATAAAATTAGCCAGCGGCCCAGGGCGGGCCCGACCCGGCCCGTTGACAATGTGAATATTTACATTAACATGTTAACATTCACATTGATAGGAGTGTAAAATTAGCCCGCGCCTTGTGGCTGCCCAAAACCCGCCCACGGCCCATGGGCGGCTTGGGGCGGGCTCGGTCCGGCTTGTTGACAATATGAATATTTATATTGACATGTTAACATTCGCATTGATAAGAGTATAAAATTGGCCTGTGGGCCATGGGTGGCCAAAAGCTCGCCCGTCGCCCCGGGGGGGCCCGGCCCGGCCCGTTGACAATGTGAATATTCACATTGACATGTTAACATTCACATTGACATGTTAACATTCACATTGATAGGAGTGTAAAATTAGCCCGCGCCTCGTGGTTGCCCGAAACCTGCCCACGGCCCATGGGCGGCCCGGGACGGGCTCGGCCCGGCCCGTTGACAATGTGAATATTCATATTGACATGTTAACATTCACATTGATAAGAGTAAAAAATTGGCCAGCGGCCCAGGGCGGGCCCGACCCGGCCCGTTGACAATATGAATATTCACATTGACATGTTAACATTCACATTTATAAGAGTGTAAAATTGGTCCGCAGCCCGTGGGCGGCCCGAAGCCCGAGGCGGGCCCGGCCCGGCCCGTTGATAATGTG